TAACTTTTAAATGGTGCATAAGATTTCTCTAAATTAATGTCGTCGAAGTCTATATCAGCAACTATAACAAGATTTTTTGTTACAATTGTACTTTAAACGAGAATCCTAAATATAATAAATACTCGTTTTTCATTTGTAAATTACAATAATCGTTTTACATACAAATATGTACAATTGATGAGACATTGATTATTCTGCAATTGGGAGAAGACTTCTGCATTTTTGGCAACAATAGAAGTGTCAAAAGAAAATGACCAAGGTGATTGACTTGTAGTGTCGTCTGATTCCCATCCTCTGTTTTCTCATTTGGATATGCAGCCACACCGGCATTATTTACAAGTATGTGAATAGCTGCTTCGTTCATCAGCAAATTTTTAGCGCAATCTCTCACGCTTTTCAAGCTACGTAGATCCAGAAAATAAATCGCAAGCTCACCAGCGTTATTTTTGTATTCACTTTTATGGAATCTAAAAATAGCCATAAAGTTGAAAACCACATCATCATTTTTTCAACATACAAAAATTTAATTAAAATATATATTTCATAAAGAGAAAAAGAGAAAATTAAAGGATATAGTAATAAATTTAATTAATTCTTGTTATAAGTTCTATTTACTTACCTTGAAGGTGGATTACTTTTTATATCTTCAACTGCTTTATTTGCCTTTTCCATATTTCTACAAGCCAGAATTACTCTAGCACCTAAATGCACACATTATTTATACAAATGTATTCGAAAATGCATTTTATTAGATTGTTCGAAAAGTTTATAGAGATTTTAAGCATATTAATATTAAGAATATAAGAAAATATTAAATAAAATATTAATTATTGATATTTAAACGTATTTTTATTCAATAATTGCCATTTTTTTCGATGATTCTATATCATCTTGTGATGTATGTGGGTGACTTTATTACATTTATCATTTGCCTAAAACTTTATTTCACCATCATTAACAGCTGAGAGTGTAACTGAGCGACCCAAAAAATTTTTTACCGGTATTCATAGTGCGTTCTTATATTTAAAATCATTTTAATTATGATCTTAAAATATCACAAAACAATAAGAACCACAGATCCGTATTAGCATCTTGAGACACTTTGAGATATTGACGATAATATCCGATATCTTCACGTCATTAACCAAATCACATTTGTATTATACTTAAAGGCACAATTACTATCTTTTAATCAATAATAAATTTATATTTCATTTATATAAAATATCTATTTAAATTTTAAAGTTTAAGTATAACTTAAATTATCATTTCAGTGACATTACCTCTCGCATATAAATCTCTAGCAGTCTCCTTGCCGATACCACTATTAGCTCCGGTTATCACAACAGTTTTGCCATCAAGACATGTTTTGCTTGTGCATGTTTTATTGAAAAACCACATTTTATGTTCTTTTGTGTTAGTTCTTTTTGATCTACGATTAATTAATATACTATTGATTATTTTTACTGGAATTCACTTATTATCAATTTCACTTTGTTGAACGCAGAATTCAAAAGGCATCGATAAGTCGCACTAATGCGGGATGCCTATGGCGAACGCAGAATTCAAAAGGCATCGATAAGTCGCACTAATGCGGGATGCCTATGGCGTTCCGATATTTGCCTGGTCCGTGATGAAGTACCTGCGTAGATCACTACTACGACTAATCGCGATTATTAAGCACGAAAGGTGGATGAATGAATGTCCGAATATCAATCGAGTACACTTTATTTACTTCATCCGTTCCACAAGCCACGCACCACAAAAAGACTACCGTAATGCGCTAGAACGCGCTCGAGAAAAGCGTACACGCTCCTTCGATAGTGGCAGCTAGACTCCCTCTCCATCCACGAAAACGAACAACGGAGTCGAGCCCGATCATGAGGCGTTATGGGAGAAATCACGCGGTCTCCTCATGGCGAAACGCAAATATATATATACGAGGGAAGACTATTATTGAATACACATGTATGCTGCGACAACGGTATTTCGAATACAATTACAATCTGTGTGGCCAACCAAAGCTAATATTTTCGAAACCCAAACACACTTAATTTACGATCGATTTTATTGCTTGATGACGTTCATTGACTAGTCACACGTTCGTACGTTCATATTCTTACAGACTGTCTATTAGAAACGCTGTTTGAAAATTGTATTCCACTCCTATTTGGCTCACGAACATATTCGTTAATCTTGGTCGTTAAATTACTAAGTTAATTAAAAAGAAAAAGATTTTTTGTTTTAAAACGATCAAGAGGTTAAAAATAATTTAAAAAATGCTAATATGAGATTATACGCAAAAAAAATAGAATTCAGTGCAAATTTGTTGCACCAGTTTTATCAATGGAACATTAAACACTGAAAAAATATGTGAACTGGTTTTCACAATAATGCAATAAAGTTGCACTACGCATTAATGTTGTACTGGTTCTCTCAGCGAAAAACGCTATTAATCTTTCAGTATTATTAAAGATCTTTGCCGTAAAAGATGCTATTAAAAAATGTTGATTTTCACAACGCAAATCATGAGCAATCCCAAAATTAAATAAACTCATTAGCGCGACTCTTGATCGTGCATGCTTGTCCACACGAATAATACACTGGATATTCTCGCGTTCGAGCGTGGTCGAGAATTAATCACTCCCTGAGTTTTAATTATTCCGTTTATTGTTCACTGAGATACAACTGCCGCTCTACGCTGAATTATTTCGCGCCTATGTCGACGATTGCGTAGTCGAGAAAGAGAGAGAACAACAAAGATGCGTTAAGGAATCACAGATTACACGAACGCCGATACGAGCCGCACGCGAGTCAAGAAAGTAGAAGTATGTTGTCGAATAATATAAACTAAACACGATGTCCTTGAAAGAAAGTGTTTTTAAAACGCATAATCCAAAAGAAAAGAAGAAGAAAAAAAGGGAAAATCATTTGCTCATAACTTGATCGAATGACATTGCATAAGACATTCGCTGTTATCATGTACAAGAAACTCTTACAGACTAATGAACCTATGGCTAAACTAAACTAGGAACGATTATAAATAGATTCAGGTTAACATGTGTCTGGAGAATCCATTCTCCATGTAATGGCAATACTGCGAGTTTGGATAAAGGCCTTACAAATACTCCCTTGATGGTTCGGATCGTGACGGTTCGCACAACACCATCAGAGCCGGGGTGAACTTCCTGGATTCGACCTAATAGCCATTACATGAAAGCTAGGCCCTGTTACCGCATGAGTACAAGCTGACCAAACTTTAACTGCATGCCCTTATTGGCCTTCCATTTAAAACGCTCTTGAAGCGAATGAAGGTATTCAGCACTCCACCTTCTTCAAAAGTGCTATCTTGTATAGTAGTTGATCAACTCTCTGCCATCGCATTAACGAATTTTTATATCACATAAATTGTGGCAAGGGCTGTTCCAACCAGAAAATGTCCCGGGCTGAGGTATGCTAAATCGTTTGGGTCGTAACTAAGCTGTGTAATCGGACGCAGATTCAGGATTGCCTCAATGTCAGCAAGTGCATTTGCCAGTGATGGTATACGAGCCGCTTTTCTAACGCATGCACGGTGCATACGGTCTCAGTAATGTATCTAAAGTAAGGTGAAAGGTATGTCAGTAATCGATCTTAAAACATTTCCTGAATGTTTTTAAAAATTGAAAGAATATAAGATACGTGCATATACTAAATATACAATTATATATATATGATATGTGTACACACATATACACGAACACACACATGCATATGTACAAGCGCGCATATCACTCATCGTCATGAATTTAATATATCACATATATATTTAATAAAAATAATATATTTAATACAAATTTTACGCTACAATTAAGCTGAAATTGAAGAAAACAATAATAATTTTTTGAACATATTATATTAATATAAAATAAAATATTTAATTTTGGAGAAATATTACATAGAGTATCAACACTTGCTTCTTAAAAGCTCCTTTTGCCATCTTAGGATCCATTACAATTAATTAAATTTATACTTACCTCTTGTCGATCTCCTTAATCTTCTGAATGTTGAGCCTATTAAAACAAAAGTTTTGCATCCAACATACGACGTGACACATCGTTGGTTCAACAGCTCCACCGATGCACATGCGCTAGAAAAATGATCCGTCATTATACCATTATTATCACACTAGCTCGTTTTCTCCCCACTCCATTCGTTTGTGGATGAATCAAGATTGATAGATTAGATTTAGAGATTGTTCGTATCATTTTTATTTTTAATGTGTAAAAATAAAAATAAACAATTTTTAATAGTTTTATCCTTACAGTTCAGCTGTTTTTATTTTTTTGTTTAATACTAAACATAAACGTTTATGTGTGCATTCCAACAAGCGACACGATGCGATACAGTGATTATGTCATCTTTGTTTGATATTGGCAAATAATAAAAACGTAATGATCCATTATGTCACTTGTGTCACTTGTTGGAAGGCACACTATGATAACTAATATTATACAATAAAACATATAAACTTTTTTATATGTTAGTAAGAGATAATAAAAAAATAAACAACTTTTTTCTTCATAAAATTAAATACTGTTTATTCATTATTAGTATTTGCACTCCAGAAAATATCGGTATAAATTTAATATCATGCAATGTCTATATAATTTTCACTATAATGTTAATATTAACAACATGATAAAAATTACATAAACATCGCATGATGTTAAATCCATACCGATATTTTTTAGAGAGTGGGCATTTTTCACAGTTTTTTATTTTAAAGCAAGAGTTTAAGATATATGAATTGAATGATGATATACTTATACATTCATTAGAATAATTTTTGTCTTTAGTATCTTTTTTTACTAAACATTTTATTTATTTGAAAATTAAAATTAAATAATATAAGTATTTTAAAAATTCCTATAAATCTCTTAAAAATAAAAAAGAAATTTTTAAAGCATTTGACGTGAAACGGTTTCCAAAAATCTGGTAAAATTTTCTTCTGGTTCCAGATGTAAAAGATGACAGGATGCATTCCACAATTTTGTAGCGTATTGACGATTGTTTGCATTTCGAGACGGAGCAGCAACATTGCAATTTCTATATATAAACATTAATGAAAGAAAATTAATGTGGAATTGAATACATATATATTATATTCTATATAAGAATAATTTTGTAAAAATAATTTATGTATAGTGAATTCTTACGTATAATAAAGACCGGTATCATTAACTGTCTTTTCGTCTACCGAACAATATATTGTCGTTTGCACTCCTTGTTCAGCATTCTTTTTATACATAAATGGCCCAAATATATTAAAAACAAAGTTTGCACCTGGAAACATTGTGTTTCTGACATGATCCCATATTTCGGTCTGTATAATACCAGGATGTAAACAATATGTGTTTATTCCGTGAATATTTGCCTCTAAAAATCAAAATTTGGATAATTTTTTACACTTTGCATAAACTTTTTATAACTACTCGTATATATTATATAACCATATTTTTATAACTTTTTATAACATTTTATAATCTTTGCACATTTTTTATTATTGCGTAATAAATACCATTAACAATTATCAATTATTAAATATTAATTAATCAATGTTAAATATGACTTATTGTAATTAATAATATTTTTTATCATACTTGTTAATTGATTAGTCAATTCCTTTGTGAACAGGATGTTTGCTAGCTTGCTTCGTGCATAACTTTTAAATGGTTTATAAGACCTCTCCAGATTAAGATCATCGAAATCTATGTCAGTAACTATAATAAACCATTTTTCTTACAATTATATTTTATAATAAAATGCGAATACTTTAAACAAAAAAAAACACTCGTTTTTCATTTTTAAACTATAATCGTTTTACGTACACATATGTGCACTTGACGAGACATTGATTATTCTGCAATTGGGAGAAGACAACTGCATTTTTGGCAACAGCAGAAGTGTCAAAAGAAAATGGCTGAGATAATTGACTTGCAGTGTCATTTCATTACCATCCTCCGTTTTCTCCAGAGAAAACGGTGATCCTATACCGGCATTATTTATAAGCATGTGAATAGCTGCTTCGTTCGTCAGCAAATTTTTTGCGCAATCCTTTACGCTTTTCAAACTAAGTAAATCCAAAGAATAAGTAGCAAGTTCACCTGCGTTATTTTTATATTCATCTTTATTGATCCTAAAAATAGCCATAAGTTTAAGGTTTATATTATCATTTTCAACATGTAAAAATTTAATGAAGATAAATATAATTTTATAGAAAAAATAAGAAAGAAAGCAAATAGTACATAATTTATTCTTATTGTGTTACGAGTTTATTCATTTACCTTGAAGGTGGATTATTTTTTATATCTTCAATTGCTTTATTTGCCCTTTCCATACTTCTACAAGCTAGAATTATTCTAGCGCCTAAGCGCATATGTTATTTAAAGTATGTTTAAGAGTATATATTTTATTTATGAAGTTGTAAAAGAGTCTTCATAAAGTTCTAAATAAGATAAAAAATAACCGAAAAAACCTAATATTCTAATAAAGAAATGATTATAGTATCTTTTACGAATTATTTTTATATGATATATTCTTACATAACATATAGATATTGCTTGAAATGTCCAAAAATTTACACTTAAAATAAAATAATATATTTATTCGGATATTGAGAGAAAGCGAAGATTCTGAATGTAAAAAGTGAATGCAACACGAATAATCTTATAATGATATTTTGGACTCAGATACTTGCCAACAAAAAGTGTCTGAAATCGCGTCATAAGACGTTTTTTTTTGCAGATAGACTTAAAAATGTCTTATGTTAGACTTTGTGTTGCTTGATCAATAACACATATATTTTATTTATTTTTATATAATAAATTTCAAATTCAGAATAACTTAAAAATATTTTTAATAAAATTTACCTCTTGCGTATAAATCTCTGGCAGTCTCCTTCCCGAGACCTCTACCTGCTCCTGTTATCACAACAGTTTTGCCATCAAGACGTGCTTTGCTCATACATATTTGATTGAATAAGTATTTAGAGAACCGTGACATTTTATGATGCTTCTCTTCCACGACGTATATAATTGTCTACTCTCTAAATCTGAATCAGTGAATAATCATTGATATCAGTGCCAAGTATGCCATTAATAATCAGTAAATAAAATATGAGGTTTTTAATCTATCTAATCTTTATTATGTGATCTAACTAACTTTGTTTTAATGTATAAATTCAATGAATTGGAAAGATTGAAATTAACATACAAATATCAGTATTTTAATTATATAATGTTCAAACATTCTTTCTTTTTCAATTAAACTTTACTGATTATTTAATGCCAAATATACCATATACTGGATAATTAGTGACTATCCACTAATTTAGGGCACCTATCATGGAACAACTCGGAATACATTCCGATAGGAATTATTCAATTATTCCTTAGATTTCGGTTGTGTTTTCTAGGGAAAATGGAATAATTTCGATCGGAATTCATTCCGACATGTTCCATGATAGATACCCAAATTTAAAGATATTAAAATTCTCACTTTCACTCACTATGCTCTATTCGATACTGTAACACTTACTGTTGCTTATCGAATAGTCGCGCGCTTGAGTATTCGTATATTTATAGATTTGAAAGCCTAATAATCCAGTCCAAAAATAAAAAGAGTAGGAGAATATAACAGTGAAGGTGGGGAAGAATGTGAAGGTTGCAATAATTAAAAGCAAGAATCACTATTCCGTTGGCTTCTTTTGCCGAATTTAGTATTGGATACACTTTTAACTATATTAGCACCCTGGTACTACATTGCAGAAAAGATAAGCAATTGAAAGATAAACAAAAAAATTTTTGTAGTAGCTTTTGGCTCAATCTTGTACATTTTTACTTTTTAATTGTACAATTTATTTTTTTGGTTCTGTTAACTCAAGGTTTATTCCAACTTCACGTTCTTGGAACTACACTGAAAAAATTTTGGTCATTTTTGATCTAATGAATGATCGTTAATCAATGTCCGACTTAATGTTACTTAATTCATTGATATAATAACTGATATAATTCATTTACATAACTACATTTATTCTTGCAATGGATTATTCTTGAAATTCTAGTAATAATTTTATAATCTAAATTATTATGTGTGTGTGTGTGTGTGTGTGTGTTGTGTGTGTGTGTGTGTGTGTGTGTGTGTGTGTGTGTGTGTGTGTGTGTGTGTGTGTGTGAGAGAGAGAGAGAGAGAATATATTGGACCAATTTTCATTCCAATTCACTAAATATTTTATTGTATGAATATTTTATTTACGTATAGTTTTACCTCAGAGCAAGTGTATAGGTATATAGTTTCATAATTAGAAAATAATTTATGAGATTGTCACATTAAAAATTGCGAAATAAGAACTTATGTCCTCAATTTAACAGCACTGATAAATAATAAGTTGCCCTAAAAAAATATATATATATATATATATTTTTAGAGCATTTTTTTATTTGGATATTGCAAGGAACGACAAATACAATACGTACTCGATATAGTTTGTTGAATAGTCATACGCTTGGGTTTTATGCTTTTATATGAACTACAATATATTGCTTCCAGTGATAAAATAATTATTCGATCTGTATAAACAAATTGCAATGTAAACAAAGTTATGAGAATTATCATACATTATGCATACAATAAAGTATACTGTAAAAAGTATTTAGATATCAGAAAATTATTTCTTATGCAAAAAATAACCGCATATTAACGATAATGTATAATATTAAGATATTGTATTTTTTTAATGATAAAATGAAACGTGCCGGGCATGACACATTTTCTCATACAATATTTTAAACAAAAATTTCTTGGTTTTAAAATGTTTAAACCTTTTGAAAACAAAGAAGATAACACACACACACACACACGCACGCGTGCGCGCACACCTATCCATACGACTTGAACAAAAATTATAAAACATGTCTTAGGTCCGTTTTCACAATATATGATTACCTAAAGGTTAAAAGTTCCAACAGATTCATCAATGAAATTCATCCATGAATTTTTTGGTTACCTTTAATCTTTAGGTAACCATATATTGCAAAATCGGGTCTTAATATCTATTACATTAATATCTATTTTTAATCTATTTAAATACATGAATTAAATCATAAAATATTTATTAGATATACATTTCTTAGAATCTATTTTTTATTTTTTGCTGTATTAAATGTTTTATGAATTAAAGATTAAATAAATATAAGCACTTATTATAAATTTTCTCAATGATTCTCTTGAGAATAAAGGGCATTTTCAATGTATTTGACGCGAAACGGTTTCCAAAATTGTAGTAAAATCTTTTTCTGGATCCAGATGTAAAAGACGACAGGATACATTCCACAATTTTTCCGGGTATTGAGGATTCTTTGCCATTCGATATGGAGTGACAACATTGCAATTTCTAAAGATAAAAAAAGCGATAAAGAGACAATTGAATTTATTATATTTACTTTATAAAAGTAATTTTTTATATAATATAGAATATATTCTTACGAATAATACAGTCCGGTCTCATTGGCTACCTTTTCATCTACAGAACAATATATTGTTGTTTGCGCTCCTTGTTCAGCATTTTTATAAAACAATTGCGTAAACATATTACAACAGAAAGTAAAACCTGGAAATACTACCCTATCACCATACCGGAATAGTCTGGTCGGAATCATGCCAGGATGTAAACAATATGTGTTTATCCCATGAATACCTGCTTCTAAAAATCGAAATCTTTATGTAAGAGTTTATCTTCGATGTATATTTTTCCTTTATTACGTAACAAATTATTAATAATTAATGATTGTCAAATATTATGTAAATGTGATTCAATGTAATTCGTAAATAATGCGATGTTTGTGTCATGCCTTTTAATTTACGAGCGAGTTCCTTGGTGAATAAAATATTCGCTAATTTAGATTGTGCATAACTTTTGATCGGCCCGTAAGATCTCTCCAAATTAATATTATCGAAATCTATATCAGCCCCTACAATAAAAAATTTGTGTGTAACAGAAATAACTCTTCTAATATTATATTAGCACACAATTTAAAAGTGTTGATAATATTTCTTAAAAGATATCTATACAACATGTTTATTGTAAAAGATATCTATATAAGAAGAAAAACTGTATAAGATATATAGCCTTAAGTTATTTGTACGAATTATACTTGATATAATCTTAATGTTTAAGAATTCTTTACATACACTGAATCTATAATCTCGCTCTTCATTATTCAAAGTTTTAATAACGATTCAAAAAAATTTTTTTGACAACTAGTTTTAAACAAGAACTAGTCAACAAAAACCGATTAGTTCAGTTTTAAAGCTATCACAATATTATACCGAAAAAATTATATTCTTAAAAGATGTACTTAATGTTTCCTCTTAAATTAATAATATATTTTTGATTTGCACGATGGTGATCATCGTTACACGCGCGCTTCACGCGGTTTTTGATAATGATTCCCCTTTAAAACCATGTAACCTTTGTCAGAAAAATGTTTCAGACTATTTAAAAGATATTTGAGATCATCGTTAAAATAGGACATCATGTACGTTCTTATATTAAGAATATGATAATTTAGATAATTTCTCTATTAAATTTTGACGCTTATTTAAAAAAAAATACTATACGTAAGTGGAATACTCTTAAGTTAATTTTTTTTGTGTATTTTACATACAAAAATGTGCAAGTGATGAGACATTAACTATTCTGCACTTGGGAGATGACTTCTGCATCTTTGGCAATAGTAGAAGTGTCAAAAGAAAATGACCAAGATAGTTGACTTGTAATGTCATTTCATTTCCGTCTTCTGTTTTCTCGTATGACGGGTAAGCAGCTATACCCGCATTATTTATAAGTATATGAATAGCTGCTTCGTTCGTCAGCAAATTTTTTGCGCAATCCCTTACGCTCTTCAAGCTACATAGATCCAGAGAATAAACCACAAGTTCACCTGCGTTATTTTTATATTCATCTTTATTGATTCTAAAAATAGCCATAAAATTACGAATTACATCGTCATTTTTTTTAACATACAAAAATTTAATTAAGATAAATAATATAAGATAAGTTTAATGAAGAGAGAGAAAAAGAAAATCAAGCAAATGATAATTAACTTAATTGATTCTTGTGTCACAAGTTTATCTATTTACCTTGGGGGTGGATTATTTTTTATATCTTCAACTGCTTTATTTGCCATTTCCATATTTCTACAAGCCAGAATTACTCTAGCACCTAAATATACATGTTATCTATACGAGTACTGTCAAAAAATCATATTTTATTAGATTATTCGAAAAGTTTGTAGGGACTTTAATGGTAAATTAAAATATGATTTATTAATATTTAAGGATGTATTGTGTTTTAACAAAATAAAAAAATTTTACACAAATCTGTCTTGCAAATTGAAAACAGCATTTGCAGTTTTATATAATTTTAGATACCGTAAAAATACACTTTATTTTTAGTTATTTCCAAAATCTTACGAAATAATACTGAACGAATTTGCGCAAACAAGTTGCTATAATACGTATGTTTAAACATTATCTTTCAGAATATCCAAGACATAATTTGATGTAAAGCGCAATATGTTTTAGTGAACTGCAATACCATCTTTTAAAAATTCCTCTACAAATTTTTCAAACAACGTAATACCATATTTATAAAGTTGTGAGTGTAAAAAAAATAATAAAATTCTAAATTAAGAAAAGAATAACCAAAAAAGCCTATAATTTTAGTATGTTAAAGATATGAATATAGTGTTTTTAAAATATTATTATGCATATAAAATATTGATATATGATTATATAACAATAACACTAATTTTTGGCTAGTAAAATATCATATCCGAAGTATTTTTTAACGATGAAAACGATGCTATTTATAGAATTTGCTTATTATGTTATATTTCCGAGAAAATTGAGATATTATAAATGAAAAATGACGATTTTGGCTACATTTAAAATGGTATTGTGGAGGAAGTATTATTAAAAAAATTATTTATTTTGCCAATTTTGTCTACACTATTTTAAAGTGCTATTATTTATCTTTATGAGTTTCTTTTTGTTTTTGTACAATTTCTTATGACAAATAAGTTACGTGGATTTGAAGTTATCACCGTCTGACATTATTATAATTGCTCAAAGTTGGAGAAGATGCACGGTGTAGCGGAATAATAAAAATGCTCAGTCAGTTCTCTCCTATTAATTCATTTTTTGTATATCTCATTATAATAAAAATAATCTTTCAATGAAGAGAAAAAGTTTCTGACGTTATAACAAAACGATTAGCATGATAAAAAGTGGCTGTATACGCACGAAATTTTTTTACAAATATCCAATATAACCATTTTTTTAAGTTACGTAAGAATATTTTACTTTTTGTTGAAAGATTTTTATGAAAATATCTCGTTATTTAAGCACTATGGCCACTTTTTTCACTCTTGCTAATCGTTTTAAAGAGTTACATCAAAAATTTTTTCTTTTCGTTAAAGGTTCGATTTTTTTTGCAAAGAGACATATGTACAGTCATGTCTCTGATGTAGACTAGAATTCGTTTATGCAGTGAGCGCTGCATGCTGCATATATATGATTTTTATATTTATTTTGACTTTATAGCTTATTTCCGTGCATGCAATCAAAAGAAACAATTGCTAAGTTTACAGTTATTTATCAAACGTCAGACTGTATACATCAAAGCAAGCATGCATGCTTATCATTCAAGAAATCGAGTATCGTGTGATTCCATCTTAATTTCAAATCTACGTAACTTGTTCATAAAAAATCGTACAGAAACAAAAAAGATAATTTCAGATTTTGAAGATAAAAGAAGACATTGCGTTATAAAATAATGCCACAAAATTGGCAAAATAAAATTTCCTTAACCGTAAAATCACTTTAAATATGGCCAAAATCGTCATTTTTTGCCTACATTGACTGTGTCCTAAAATTTATTGCCAGTACTGAAAATGTATAGTGCACGTAACTATATATTTTCAGTACTGGCAGTAAATTTTTAGGACACAGCTATAATCTCAAATTTCACGGAAATGTGACGTAATAGAATTTTCTGACCTTGGACTTAAATCTAACGGTCAAAAATTTTCGAGACACTGCACATGCCAAAGACAAGAAAAAAAATCAAATTTGTCGGACGATGCAATACAATTGGGAATTATCATTGTGAAGAGAATTATATTACTTTAATCAATAACAAATTTATATTTCATTTATGCCATAAGCAACATCTGCATGGAAAGAACGATTTTATTTGAAGTGTAAGAATTTAAGTAGATACAAATCTGAAAATAATTTTGATGGACTATCAATATAATTATGTAGAAAAATCAAGCATGACGAGATTAATATTGCAAAAAATATTGACATTCAGTTTGACTGTCCTACACTATTATTTTAATGGTCTTTCTATGCAGGGGAGACCGGAATCAGTTGACTATAGGAATAAGTAGAATAATCGAAGCTACATTAAAAATAAAACGCGAGACACACGTAAACTTGTCTAACTTTGCAGCAGCAATTGCCGTTAAGTCTGCTGTAACATCTTGTTGCGAACACATCTATGATAGAAATTATGCCACAATTTTAAAAAATCATACACCTAAGTAAATATTTTTATTCTTAAAATTTTTGTTTTACAATTATATATAATTGTCTCACTTTGATTTCTGCTTAGATAGTAAATGTAGTTCTTACTTAATAAAGTCAAACAGATTTTTTTTGTTTATGTGTCTTTATTATCGTATATTGTTAATGTTTTTAAAAAATGAACGGATGGGGATAGTAGACTAACCATAGCACGGTACTGTATGACTCATTTAGTAACAATTTTACAGTATTACTTAAAATTTTATTTCTTTAAAGAGATTTTGCGTTATAAAATAATGCCACAAAATTGGCAAAATAAAATTTCCTTAACCGTAAAATCACTTTAAATATGGCCAAAATCGTCATTTTTTGCCTACATTGACTGTGTCCTAAAATTTTACCTCAGTGGTAAATGTTATAAATTTAGTTTCCTCATGTTCAATTTCGAAAAGTAAGCTCATTCGACATGTTTTTGCACGAAATAAACAAATTTTGCAAAAAGAAACATTGTTTTATCCTACGAAGCGAATATTTGTGTTCAAAATATATTTTTAAAAAAGTTTTATTAATATGTAGCCAAAGATGTAGCTTAAAATACATTAATCTTTATTTTAATAATCTTAGTCGAATTATCCCGATCCCGGAACTAGTTAAATCAGATGGAATGTATTAGAAAAATTTTTTTTCTATTAGTTTTTTTCATATTAGTTATCAGTTCTCTTTATTATTAAAATATTATTAGGAAGTCAAATGTATGTAGTAACTAGTGTAAAATTCATTTTTTCGATAAGTCTCTTAATTTCATCTGTAAAAATTCAGAACTGAAAAATGAGTCTATTAGCTCCGGTCTCTCCTATTTATATTTCAAAAGTTAGAATAACTAAAAATATATAAAATCAATCAATAAAATCAATAAAATCAATAAAAATCACCTCTCGCGTATAAATTTCTAGCAGTCTCTTTGCCGATACCACTGTTTGCTCCCGTTATCACAACAGTTTTGCCGTCAAGACGTACTTTGCTCGTACACTCTTTATTAAGAAACCACATTTTATATTATAGTATTTTTTAATTTATCAGTTGATTATTTTTATAGAAAATTATTCACTACCAATTTCACAGAAAGTGCACCGATTTTGTTCTGTGTTGTTATGTACTGCTTGAAGACTGCACTGTTTTTTATATACTATTACCACTCCCACCATTATTCTATCCCACTCCCAGTTCAATTACGCACTTATTGAGAAATATCCTTACCTTGCGAAGGAAAAGTAGGTGTGTTACAGTGAGCTGTTGGAATTCTCGCTGTGTGAATTACAGCTTATCAGTACTGAAAATCTTCGTCGTAGAAGATGCTATCAAAATAATTTGATTTTTACCGCGCAAATCATGATTCCCGAAATTAAATAAATTTTCTGAAAATCTTTGATTTCCACTGCAAGAGAGACTACAAAAAATGATAATTGATTCGATTTCGAACATCGTCAGAAATCGATATCAGTCTTGAGCATTTTTGAAGCTGTTTTGCGAATATAAAATCAAATTTTTCTCGCTGCAGTGATTATTGCTCGCTTTCTTCTAACATTATCGATTATACAGATCATAATATGATTGTCCTTCTAAAATGATTAAAAAATTCGACCAACAGTGTCGTTGTGCTGGCTCGCGTACAAGAGTAAAATATAACATTAAAGTAATTAATTGCTGGGCTAATTTTCATCTAAGCACTTGTTTTGCGACGATCAGCGTCCATCTTAATATTATTAATGTAGTTTATTTCGGTTTCAACACGCATTCAGAAATTGTAATATTTTCTCTAGGTATTGATGAACAAACCGTAGATTAATCACATGTCATAACATGTGAAACATATTAACAAAATAATGTTATGGTTTCTATAAAACATTTCTTTCAATATAGGACATTTATTGATTTGAGTAGTTCACATTTCTGATTTTGTAATCAAAAGTTATATATATACTGTTTTTAGTAATCTATTATTATTGTTTGAAATAGTCAGTATTATTAACTAATTTTTTCAATGAAATTTTACTGATTTACAATATTACACTTATAATTATCATAATCAGTGATGTTTACTATTTTTCAATGATAATATGCTGATTCACTTTTAGAGGGTAGAATAATTTAAAATATCATCTCAGTAAAATTACCTCTCGCGTATAAATTTCTAGCAGTCCCCTTGCCAATACCACTATTTGCCTCCGTTATGACAATAATTTTGCCCTCAAGACGTGCTTTGCTCGTACATTTTTTATTAAGAAACCACAACATTTTATCGTGTTTCTTTATGATGATATTTCGTTATTATATAGTTAATTATTTTTATTGCAAACTGCTTATTATCAATTTCACTGAAAATGCTATATTCAATTCTGTTGTGCTGTTTGTAAATACTGTTAGGCGCTCGTATATACAGGGTGGGGCAAAAGTCCCGCTACCATTGCAAAATTGCACGTCTACACAACACAACGGTTAAAGCTAAACTGAGCTATACGTCACATAAAAAAATCACAATGGTAGCGGGACTTTTGCCCCACCCTATATATGTTCTTGAAGCTTTCAAATCACATCTCACTCCCGGCTCGATGTGTAGAAATCTCGTTTTGCTAGCGAACGGAGTAGGAAACATTGTAATTATTTTCTTTTTACACCAACTCTCAGATAATTATTACTTGTGACGTTATGACTTAATTGAACAAACGTTCCTTTTGCATTTGAGAAGTGAGATTTAATTGAGTTTTTACCTACAATCTGCACAAACTCGAGATCGTGTACTTTACTAGGGCTTGGTTGCACCAACGTTACTTTGACTTTAAGTTTGAAACTCTATTTGTCTTATTTTAAAGCCGAAAAAGAGACATAAAGAGTTTTAACCTTCGCTTAAGATCAAAGTAACGTTGGTGCAATCAGGCCCTCGTAGACTCATTTTAAAAGAGTTATGGTTATAAACTTGTGTTGTTATATAAGTTTTCACCAAAAAAAGCAATTGTGACATTATTTCTAATACATAAAATTTATCGTCATTTTATCGACGTGAACCGGCAAAATATAAATATGTCGCAAAATGTGACATGAAAGCCATAGCACACAAAATCTTAAGCGATAAAACGTAAACAAGAAGCGAATTGACCAATCACAGTACAGTCCGTAAGGCCATAACATAAATAGTAG